GTGGCTCTTAAAATTACTCAACCAAAATCATTGGTCAAAATGGCGGATTTCACTTATTACCAAACGTCACCATTTTTTATCGGCCGAATTTCATTATAATCCCAAGCGGTAATCGGAATTCCAAATGTCGTCTGCTAGAATATAATCCAACGAATGAAGTCACGTGATCAACTAGCGGATTCCGTGTCAGCAGAAAATTTCTATGGAACACAAAGTGGACCATATTCTTATGTTGTTTCAGTGACTTTTAGCAATAAATCACGCTACGTATCTTATTTTGTCAGTCACTATTTTTTTTTTAAATCGTGGTTCTTTGAATGAATTGTCACTAGTTATAATGAATTGATATTAAAGATAAATACTAAGAGAAGTTAATTATACCACCCGGTATCCATACAACGTGTTTATCTAGACTAATTTATATAATTTATAGATCAAACATTGTACACGAAAATAGGTGACGCATTCTGCCGCCGTTCCCGAGTTGGTGAAATATGGGTCAAAGTGAAGGATTCATTAAGAAAATCGAAACAAACCAATTTCTATTATTTTGTAGAATATCTGAGGAAACATCTAAGACATAAAAAAAATTTTCCGTTTTTTTAACTTTGACGAAATTCGGTGTTGAATCCTTATATCCACGAAAATAGGTTACACCACTGTACATTTGTTTTGAAATAAATACTGTTTAAACCAAGTCAAATGTTTCCATGACCATAGAAGGGGGTCGTTGCCAAAAGTATTCACAAAGTCAAATTTGAAAACAAGGCCTCGACTTTACAAAGTCATATTTCAACATTACACAATTACAAAATAAACCTTCCTAAAATCAAAAAGTCAATGTACTTATTACAAAGTAGAGATATTGATAGTTTACTTTTCAAACTTTATTTCACATCAGACACCATTCAAACTTTCCTTTACGAAAATGAATTCTTAACTTTGCATTATTGACATTATCAAATATGTCTTCTTGACTTTGCATTCGTGAAAGATGTAAGTTCGACCACTGTATTCTTGAGAGTTGTAAAGTCAACTTCTGCATTCTTGAACGTTTACCATATAAGGTAACGTGACCTACTTCATTTACATAATCCGGAAATTCACGGAAACTAACGGAAATATAAATCAATAATTGCTCCTTGTCAAAGGGATTTAACTCTAAATAAGCCTCAAAACCGGATGTTCAAATGGACTAACTCCACTAATTCATTTGCCATCTCTTCCCATGTTAAAACACGAAATTCAACCTTCTATAACTTTTTCCAGAATCTCGTTGAAAGCTTTCCAATATGTCGAATGAAAGCCTGACCAATTCTCAATGTCTCCTAAAAAAATTCATTATATGATGACCATGAAAATTTTGAGCTACTAAAATTGAAAGTAGACTACTACCGGTTATACTCATCCGCTAGAGTTTGGCACTTCACAAAACGACTATGTTTAGATTTTGGGGAAGGGAGGGTTTGATTCTCCCAAATGTACAGGCCTAGGGTGGAGCAGACACTTTATTTAGAAATTAGGATTAAGGGTCTTGATATTGGGTTTTCTTCTGTTCTTATTCTGATCTGAAATTAGAAAAAGTAACTCGCCCGATGGGCGAGAAGTATAGTATCTGTTATGTACTGATTGTTTTTAGTTTACTATGAACAATATTATCATTTAAGTTCTTATTTTTTGAATATGCAACTATCATTTTCTGCTTATAGACATGGGGGAATTTCTCTTGAAGGCTCTTATAGTGGGCATGAACTATCTTGCTTGCTCGATTGCTGGTTGTATTAAACGGGACAACAAAGGGTGCTATGCCTACATTATGATGAATATTTAGTCCTATAGGTCTTGCTGTATTTAATGTCTCAATCCAATAGGCCTCCCTAGATTGACGGAATTTGGTAGTTTCATCTTCGGACAAGTCAATTTCTATACGCTCAATTGGGATTAGGGTGAGATCGTCTATTGAATGGTCGTCGAGGTTGAAATGATTAGAAACAGGCTTGTCTTTCTTTAATTTGATGTCTGACCTATGAGCATTAAAGCGAGTTCCTCCTAGTTTCTCCTACATATTGTTTGGGGCATTTCTTGCATGAAATTAAATATATTACATTCAAATGTTCACATGTTAGATGTTCCTGGATCGGGTACCTTTTATTCGTAGAGTTGTTTACAAAATAATGAGTTTCTGATATAAAGGGACATGTTTTGCATCTACTGGACAAACATTGAGCACTTCTTAAACCTGGAGGTACTTCGGCATAAAGTCTGTTTTTAGCTGCTATCTGTGCTAAGGTGGAATTTTTTATGTTTCGTAAAAATCGTTTAGAGTACC